TTTGGAAAATCAAAATTCTTTTCTGTTTGATGATGGAGGTAATTAAATGGATTTTCATCATTGATATGATACACATCAGTGGTATTACTATCGAAATCTTTGGCAAAAAGGTCGGTGTGATCAGTGTCACTATCAATATGCAAAGTAAGATAATTATCACAAGCTTCGAGGAGATCGGTGTCACTGTCTATATCCACATCAAAGGAATCGTCATTAACTTCATTAATATCAGCATATGAATCAAAGAAATCTATATTGTGTACCTTCTTCGGCTTTTAAAGTTGTGTCATTACTGTTAATGGGTTTTCATCGTTCCTTTCGACTTTTCTTCTCTTCGAGGCAACAAAATGAAGACAGTCGCAAAACGAATAGATGCCAATAGGCTGTCGATAACGTTGGTATAAACGGAACACACTATTCCCCAAAAAGAGCCTTTCTAAACCCCGAATTCGATTTCAGCAGTAAAAATAACAAATTTAAGCAAATAAGCTCCACACGTAAAATTTTAGCACCACTAGATTTGATATCTCTAATGATTATGGTTTATAAACATTGTTAAAAAGTATTCATTAACTTTTTTGTAATTCAACAAAAGCTCAAAACAATTATTGGTAACTTGATTGTTACAAATCTTATTAAAAGAATTTTTTAAATATGTAGCAATGAAACGTCTTCTGTACTTTACTCATAATGAAAAGGAAGTTTCTGTGTGTTTGTCTTTCGTTCATGCTGCGTGTAAGCTAATAGACCCAGGACTACGAATTTGATACATAGGTGCATCTAGACAAGAGTCAAGTGCACCTCGAAGCGAGGTTTTCAAAATTCGAATGAGTTTTTTTTTAATTTTATCTTTTTTGATGAAATCGCATCAAATCGATAATTCTCTCTCATTATATCAGCAGTAATGGCACGCAGCCATTGTTGCTGTTGTATCACCGTTGTCATTATTGATTGTATCAAAACTCTTGCCACTCGTAAGGATTAAGGCGAAAATTAGCGTTTTAAGAGTTTTTAATTAATACCTCTAATTTAGTGGAAGCGGGAAAGTGGACAAAAGAACGAACGCTAAACTACCGCTGCCATAAATATTCAAATAAATATTCTTTTTTTCGGGGGGGGGGTTCTTATGATATTTAAAAAATTCTTTTAATAAGATTTGTAACAATCAAGTTACCAATAATTGTTTTAAGCTTTTGTTGAATTACAAAACATAAGCGTAATCCTTATATATAAACCTTATATATAAGATTATTATTATTAAAACGAAAATACTTGAGTACTACCGGGAAACATATTTTTCAATACAAAAAATACTTTCAAAACTTGATGTTTTTATGGATTTATCAGTGCAAAGTACAGAAAATTATGTTTACATTACACTCTCATGGAAAGTTTCATCTACCTTTGGCTAGGTGAAAATGAAGCTAAATATAAACACAATACAAAAATATATAAAAATATTTTTATTTCTTTAATAGCCACCCTTTTACTATCAAATCAACTGGTTAGCATAAAATTACCTTACATTATATTATTAGTGGGAATGTATTTATGCATAGGAAGGCCTTTAAATGATATGCTCAACAATATGCTTCCATACGAAACCATCACAGCAGACGACATTCAGAAATCATACCAGGCGACGACATTTCATACGACCATCATAACAGACATTCTGAACATGGAAAACCGAGCGATATATAACTTTTCAATTCTATATATTCCTCAGTACTAAGATATAACAATTTGAGTTAATATGGGGTTTTCAGAACGCCTACCCTACTAAGAGATGCAGGGAATGGAATTAAGGTAGTTTGGGCGATGGTCACTTTCTCATCCAACAGATTATGACAAGAGAGTGGAAACGAGAAAAGTGACTTATATTCGAGCTTCGGGGAACCCACAGAGCTAAATTATGCGCTTGCTTAATGCTGCTGGCTGAATATCATTCTAACACTTATACATATGTCTGAAAAAATTCATGAGACTTAGAATGGAAATCTTTATTATCTTCAGTGCTTATTCGGTCACAATCACAGAGTTAAGGGAAAGGAGTTTAATTAAACTTTGGTTTTGTCTTTTCTTAGAATCAGTGCATTGTTTTCCAGAATATATAGTGGATATAAAAGTCTCACATCGCTTTTCCTCCTACTCAAACCTTTGATTTTATTATATATATATAAAAAAACACTTTCCTCACTACTTACCTAACATGAACGTATATTTTATTTAGGTACACGCACCCAACAAAACATCTGATGTGGCTACCACGCGACTTCCTTGTACGGGCTACTAAATTATACACATTTCTGCTGCACTTGATTTGCACCTGTGTCCTCGAATTTTATTAGATATATATTTATAACTCAATTAAGTCTTCCTCCATGGTCGTTAGATGAGCTTAAACAAGGATTGCTCCGTTTCTGGTCGTTGCTTCCCATTTCACTGACCGTCAACTTAATTGACAACATGGAACGTCACTGCCGCCAATGTATTGCAGCTAGGGATGAACACATTCCTTATTAAAACCCATTTTTGTAATGTTACCACACCATTTTTCCTCAAAAAACTGTTTCTCCAAGACTGGATTTCTATGCCAAGAGTGCAATTTTTTGTTGTAATTCATGTTTGTTTTGAACATTCTATGTCGCATTCATTAAAGAACTGTTTAGTGAACATCTTCTGTAAATTTCTGGTTTCTATGTTGCTTTCTTCTCAAATTAGCAACACACACACACACACAAAAAAAAAAAAAAAAAAAAAAAAAAAAAAAAAAAGAAAAGAAAAGAAAAGAAAAACATGATGTTCCTTAACTTTTGGAGGGCAGGGTATATATATCACTGTATAATGAAGTAAGCAATGCCCATCACAGCTCTCAACAAATATAAGGTTTAAAAATTGGGTTAAATTATGAAACTTTGCTTAAATTCAACACCCGTTGAAGCTTTACTACTGATTCACACACATATCTGTAACTAGCTTTACTGGAGGGTGGAGGAAATTATTATATGAAAACAAATGACATTGATTTCATTATAAGCGTAATGATCGGCAAAACATAAAACTTTTGTTAGATGGTAGCGGTCCGTAGATTAGAAGCTTACACTTAATTGCAGATTAAAAAATACGTGAGATTTTTATTAGCTACTAATCAGTAATTATTTTCTTACAACATTTAGTTTTTCAAGGATATCAGAAGTACTCCTTTTGTAAACTAAAAAAAATTATGTTACATATTTGTAATGCTTTTTTCTCGAGAACATTACTTAATGAATTACACAAATAAATGAAAAAAAAAACAAATGATTTTTTATAATTCAAATAAATGCATTTTATTTTTATTGCTATTGAATTTGTGAGTAAGGAAATCTTTCCAGGCACTGTATAAACATACTGTGTAGTTTGTACAGACTAGAGTTATTTGGAACTATTTTGGAGCAGTAAAGTAAAACAATCAATGACTCCTTCACCGGGATTCAAACTCGGGACCTTCCGATTGCTAGCCGGACGTGCATCACGAAGCCACGCGGAAGCAGAAAATACCTTACATTCTCATTTGAGAAATGCTGACTATATTCCAAATATTTCTCTATTTTTTTTATTTAGTTTCGTAAAAATACATCAAAACAGTTTAGTAAATGATTATGTTCTTTTATATAAATTCGCAATCTGCACTTTAAAGAAATAAGGTTATTTTTACTCCGCGAATGAAGAGATGTGGGAAACTGATTCCCAACTGAGTAAGCAACTCTCTTTCTTTTTTTTTAACTTCAATTTCCTTTTAATGTTTATCAAAATAAAACTTCGGTACATAAACTACACATTAGACGGAGAAAGTAGCTAAGACTATTGTAATATTCTGCAACAAATATATAGTCAGGCGAATCAGTAATTGCCAGGAATTTATTAATTAATTAAATGAATCTAATAATTATCTGAAGCTAATTAGTTAACATTTATGTTTATAATCATAATTAATTAAATCTCATAATAAACTTTTTCAAAGTATGTTGCATTATTTTTCGTCCAATGCCGAGAGAATCATCATTATTTGTTCTCCCTCCATCTCATACTTTTACCTTCCACTACCTGAAAATCGTGTTTATCAAATACGTCTACTCTTGTTCGATACTTTTAAACCACCTTTTCAATGAACAGGCTCAAATGAGTATTAAAGAACTTGGTTTATTCAATTTATCCTAATATACTGTTAATTTAATTAAATGTCCTTTAGCGATGTCTTGTCAGGGAGTTTTATTACTTAAGATAATCAAGAAATTTATAATAGATCAAAGATTTCTTGAAAAAATAGACTGTAAAATTACTTTGAGTTTCCAACTAATTTACTGATGTAAGATGATTCAAACTGCCACACTGCGGTCGTGTTTGAATATATGTATTGACTATATTCAAACTTGCGACTTAAATTTTCCTTCAAGAAATTTACAAATTTATAAATTTTAGCTGCGATTCGAATCAGAGTTTTAAAAGTACAAGTAATTAGAATCTAAGCTTTCTGTTCTCTTGTGAGCTACTAAACATTTATTTGTCTTATGAGATAAAGAATAAAAGAAATAACATTATCGAGAAGAAAGCTCAGTAAGCTCAATAGGAACATGAACCACTTGTGAAATTTTTGTTTAGCATGCATGGGGTTTAAATTCCTGTTTAATACTAATACAAAATAATGGCTATTTTAACATAATTTAAAACACAACTCACAGTGAGAAGTTGATTGATTGTTTGTACAAAAGTAAAAAGCTTATTAAATTTTTAATATATCATTCCTGAGTAAAAACTAGAAATAATTACTGAAGGTTTTACCTAAACAAATTTTCCATATATTAATGAATGCAGAAAGTATTATAATGCATACTCTAAATAAAAAATACCATTAAAACAATAATAACAACGTCATTTGGTATAATATCAGTATCTTTTTTTCACTATATGCATTTATGTTATTTTAACCACAATTTTAATTTTCAAATGAAGCATACCTGAAAATAGGTCCATAAATTTTTGCCAGTTTCTCGAAGTCCAGGTGTACCTTGGAACTAATAAACGGAATATAACCAATAACAGGCAAACCCCAAGGTCCTGGAGGAGTTTTATGACTTTTTCTTACCAACATCGCATACAGTATTAAAATGACAAAGCCTATGAGCAGCATCAAACTTGAGATCTCCATTTTCGTATAGCTTAATGCCAGTTAAGAATGACGAGTGCTTTATACCAACCGTGAAGCGCACGTTTTTGACGCCTCTTAAGATAAGAACATATTTAATCTCTGATGTAAAAAATAAGACCTTGATTATATAAACACATTTTTTGCATTTGTCTTGCACTCGAAGCTCCGTTTTAAATAAATATTTATTTATCTTTTCATATTAGTATGATTCCAGGCTGAGAGAATTGCAGCTCTAATATAAAAGAACTATTTTTTCTGCAAACTCGGATATTCTAGCAAAAAAAAAAAAAAAAAAAAAAAAGTAAATAGAAATAAAATATCTTTGGCAAAAGTACACTTATAGTCGGTATAGTGGTCAGGGGAGCTGACTGCGATGCCGAAGGGCCTGGGTTCGAATCCCGGAGAAGGTATGGTTGTAACTGTCCGCCCCTCTCATAGGAATGGCGATGGTGGCCCACCTACTAGGTGTCTCCATAATAAAGAGACCACCACATCCGACCTTGTACAGATTAATGGATTGGGCTACATTTGTAATTGTTCACAATCCGCCATTGAAAAAAAAAAAAAAAAAAAAAGAAAAGAAAAGAAAAAGAAATACACTTAATCTCTTTTATTAAAACTCTTCATATGAGTTTTAGTTTCAGAATTGCAAATTTAAAATATAGTAAACCAAGAAAACGAAGAAAAGATAAATATATTGTGAAGATAACATGAAAAAATATATATACATATATATATATATATAGGAATTTGTTTTTACTTTTCTCCTAATTTGCTTTTAAAAAGTTTGTATTGCTTTTCTTTAATGTTTAAAATTTTCATTTTTTAACCCTTTTCCGAAGATAGTACATACATAACTTTGTTCTAAATAAATTTTTATGCAGTTTATCGTAAAATTCACTGCTATTGTTAAATTATACATATTGATATGAATTTTGTACATATGCGAATAATTTTAGTGAAATTGTTGTATTTCTTTTGTATAATGTAATATGAAAATCTAAAGAAGCGAAGCTTGCCGGAAAAGTAAGAATACAGGGATAAGTCTATTTAACATTAAGTAAATGTTTATCTCTCTAATTTCGCGAGCTATCGCTAAGCTGCAAGGGTTTTGGAGACTAATATTTTGTTGCCAAATTTAGCGATTTTATAGTCCGGCCCCTGTATCACCGTAATAGGTATTGTAAATGAATAAATGTAAGTTATCATTATATTAGCTGCAACCGTAATTTGGCCCTCATATGCCTTCCAGTTAACGCTATACAAGACCGAAGACAGCGTCTGCGTTCAGTTTGCTGTTTGTGAGTTGTTAGTTCAGAGCGACTTCGGAGTATTGAAATCTTCGCCTTTCTAGATGCACTTTGCTTCCTTTGTATTTAACGCTCCATAATAGCTTGAAATGTAACTGATTGTACTCTGTGATATTATGGGGAGTTGAACGACTATTTTTGTCGAAAGTTTCAGACCTTTGAAATATTTCTTTTGATAAAATAAATTTTATCCACCTATCATCGGAGTTGTATGCATTTAATCTATCATGAATCCATACGCACGCAACAATATGTTTGTAGAATGATATAATGTATGTTATTCCTCCTTCTCGCTTACCTTTGGAGTGTAACTGGATAGCACATCCGATGCGTAATCGGGAGATCTGGTGTTCGAAACCTGGCGAGAGCACTGCCTATCTTGTCTCCTGCATCAATGAATCTAATGATTCAAAAATAAATCTATTATTATAAGGTGAATTTAAATTATACTTATAGATTTATTGTTTTTATTATTAACAGCTACATAAAAGTACATCGAAACGAAATCCTTAAATGCATCTCTGTGGCAGCTCTAAAAGCTTAAAATCATATCTTTTTTTTTGCTAATCATTCATCTTACCGTGGTTTCCATTGGCAGATAGTAATGAATAACATTTTTTTACTATAACTTTGTCCTGATCTTTTGAGTACTGTTCTTAAAATTCATAACTGTTACCACGCTTTGTTAATGATTCTTTGCTGAGCTCCTACGTCTGCAAAGGCCTCTTGTGGCCTTTCATTATGCTCTCTAAGCTCCCATAGCTTAATAAATCGTGTAATACAGGTTTGAATATTTCTCAGAAAGTGTGTTTCCTTTTTGCATGGTGCATTGATAAACCATTGATTTCTGAAGTCAAGGGCAATTTTCTCAAATTACAAAAGCAAAGCGAATAATAAACGATAGTTTGCATATTCATAGAAATTATTTAAGATCATAATTTGTAGGATTTTATGTTAATTAACCAATAATTGCTATCTTAATTTAACTTCTTCCTTCCGTAGTCCTCACCAAAGTGCCAATTAGTTGTGTGTATTTAATTTTGAATATTTTATTTATTTATTTATTTATTTATTTTAATATTTTACAGTGAGCGCTTCTAACTGCCTCGCATTCCAGTTACGTACTATCGCTAGCTCTGCCAAAATTTTATTCCGATTTTAGCACCTTGATAGCCGACATTTAAATGCACCCGCTAATTATCTTGAATTAGCTTCAGTAGTCTGTTTTGTGTATAGTCTCAGCCTACGTTACCTATATCTGGATTTAACTTCATCTTTAAGGGTAATCGTATCAAATTTAGTGGAAATATTGAGGAATTATTACTGACAGCAAATTAAATTTTGCGGAACATTTTAAGCATATACATAGAATCACAGATAATATTTTAAAATTTTACAAGCATAATTTTAGTGCTGATACTTTGAACAGAAAGAGTTTCACCCTGAAAGAGATATTTAGAAATGGGGTCATCTCTAAAACATTATGTGGAGCGAAGCTTGGTGCTATTGAGCAGAGGAAGTACTTAGAATTAGAATGAAACTGGACACCCTGCGGAGAAGCTGGATGCTTGCCATTACAAGAGCCTTGAGAACCGTTTTGACTGAAGTTGCCTGAGTCCTTGCGGGTGTTCTGCCCCTCTCGATTTTATACAAATTATACTACAAAAAGTTTCTATTAGCTATTAATTTAAAGAGTTAAATAAAAAAAAGTTCTTTTTACATTCTTACCATTTATAAAAAAGTTCTTTTGATTTTCTTACGATTTTGTCATCGTTTAAGACTAAAGCGATAACTCACTTTTCAGTCTAGTAGAGTCTGCAGGACATTAAGATAAGTTTTTATGCATAGCACAACCTTCAAATTAATTATTTAATAATTTCTACTACGCTTACATCTTAAGATACAAGGTTTGAAATCTAATTTTCTGCTTACGATGTAGTATTGCCTAATTTTCTTGAGCAGGAAATGTACGATGTTTGACTAGTAAAAGCTAGTGTTTGTGTCAGGTACGTTATTCGTGACACGAAATTTATCTTGAGAAAGCAATAGTTTGGAACATTCAAACTATTTTCATAAATCTACATTTATTTATTTGTTTATTTTATTCCAAGCTTATTTTTATGAAAGTGTTTTATAACTATAAGAAAGTGAGTTCATTTTCAAGTAAAATGGACAGACTTGAAAGAAAAAAAAACTCCGAAACAATATACACTCACACATTTTGTTCTCTTGATACAAAGTCCAATTCTTTTGTTTAAATAATTTATGCTCTAATAACATTTACTTTTTCCTGCCATTTACTTTTTCATCATTAAAAGGATAAAAACATACTCTCATCACCCCCTAAAAGCACTTCCAAAAAGTTCATCTCTGTCATAAAATTCATTTAAATGTGAAACTTACTGCTACTTGGAACTGATCGCTCAGAAGCAGGCACTTAATTTCAGACTGAAACTCAAAATTCTATAGACATTTGACTACCTTTGTTGTATTCTGCAATTCAGAAGTACTCAAACAACATTCTTTTCTTAATGGTGGATTCTTTGTACTATTGTTCACAAACCTTAAACACCACGCAGTAATTATAGTCAATTTACTTCATGATGAATACATTTTGATGAATTTGTTCTCAACAGAACTTGAACATGTGACTGTTCAGTTTAGCAGTTTCCTTTCGAAGTTCAATCTTTTCTTTATCTTCTAACTCCTTTTACCGATTCTGGGAGGTTAGGCCACGGGTGCTACTTTGGTAGACGGTTGCACGGATTTTTGGCGATTTACTTTGGCGCAATTGTTTGGCGCGGTTTTTACGATCGTCAGCCATCTTGAAAAACGCCGTTTTTACATTATTTTGCGCATAGTAAAGTATTCGAAACTTTAAAGAATTAATATCGTTAAAAATAATGGATTAATTTTTTGTTGAAAACGTTGTTTTTTAAGAAGGCAGGCAAATGTAAATAAATACATTTACTACGAGTATAAAATACTAAAGAAAGGTAAATTATTACTTTCATATAGCACAGAAATAGAATAAAAATACCACTATAAAAATATTGCTCTAAAGTTTAATTGGATTAAAATATTACGTAAATTGAATATCGAATTAAAAACCATCATACCAGCGTTTAAAAGAATTAAAATATTACTTAAATTAAATACTTTAAAATAAGTAACTAAGAACGCTTCGTACACTAGAGCTAAAATGACAGCAATTAGTTTATTGTCGGCAAAAAAGGGGGAATGTCTGATACATTTCTTACCGTTACAGCGATTATTTCTTCCAATATGACCACAATACCATATACGGCCGTTCTCAGAATCGGCTCTTCTAACGATCAGTAAATATGAATTCCCGATCTGGTGACAGTTTGTGTCTTAGAGAGTTCGTTTGCAGATTTATTCTGCTGAACTGTCTTTAAGTCTTTATTTGTTTTCAATTCAGGCAAATTAGAGTCCGAAATCAAATAGGCTGGTTTCACACGGTCTATAGACACAGTAGATTTCAGACCGTTAATATCAATTGTGAAAATTTTGTTCGTTCTAGAAAGGACTTTATGCGGACTTGTATATGGTTGGCACAGAGTGGCTTTACTCGATCGACACGTAAGTATACATGTGTACACGACTTTAAGGTAGCACTTACGTAACACTTTTCTTGGCAATGTGCAGATGTTGCTATTGGATTTGATTGTTGCATTCTATGCCGAAGATTCGTTATAAATTGAG